CTCCCCGCTTATGCAAATGAAGCCCGGGAAATTCAAATCCCGGGCTTCATTTGCAAGTGGCGGTATGCCTACATTACCCTCCTAGTTCGAACTAGCGGGGTAGTGTAGACATACCCTCAGTGATTTCTAAAAGTACTAGGAGCTTTAGTACACTGTGTAGCCTCAAGCCCAATACAATGTGAATGGGTGCAAGCTCTGTTTCCAAAGCTGAAGGGTGATATACGAGCTCTTTGTCTGCAGAAAATATTTCTCTGAATTCTGATTTTCTTTCTGATTTGGAAACAAAGCAGTGTTTTTATGCAAAAATGAAGCAATAACTTAACTTAGGGTACATCTACATTGTGGAGCTATTTTGGGATACCGGAAGTATCCCAAAATAGCTATTCCGTGTCTATTGAAGCAGCCCATTATTTCAAAATAAATTTCAAAATAACGGGTGGCTTATTTCAACATCCCGGTAACCTTTGTTCCACAAAAGTTAAGGGAAATTTCAGAATAGCAAGTTATTTTGAAATTTGGTGCTGTGTAGACAGCGTCAAATTATGAAATAAGATATTTCAAAGTAGCACTGAAAGAAGCTACACAATTTGCTTAATGCAAGTTGCATAGCTTATTTTGAGCTAAGGGTGTGATGTAGATGCACCCTAAGGGTACTTCTACACTGCATGCTTATTTTGAAATATGCTATTCCAAAAGAAATAGTCCAAATAGCTTATTTTGAAATAGCACATCTACACTGCAGGGAAGCCTCAAAATGAGTCCGATGCACGCTTCCCTTATGTAGATGTGCTATTTCAATTTAGAGCCCTAGAAGGCACTGGGGAGGAATAACTTAGAATGGCCCTGGTGAAGAGCTATTTTGAAATAGCAGCAGTGGAGCATCTACACATGCCTTATTTCAAAATCGTTTTTTCGGAATAGGTGTTATTCCTTGTAGAATGAGGTTTATGGATTTTGGAATAAGCCATATGTTGTTTTGATTTTTTTTCAAAATAATGGAATGGCTGTGTAGATGGTCACATTGTTATTTTGAAATAAAGTTAGTCTCAAAATAGTGGTGCAGTGTAGACACACCCCGATAGAATTAGAAACTTAGTAAGATAAAAAATTAGAAATAATTTTCTCTCTTCTTCCAACAAATAGTTTGGTTCAAAATTTAGGACAACCCCTCGTCGTTTTGAAAACTCTCAACTATATATTAAGGGCTAGATTCTGCCACCCTTACTCCTGTTCTGTAGTCCCTTCTTATAGAAGTAATTCCACTAAAGTAAATGGAACTACTTATGTAATAAGGTACTGATCATCAGGAGTAAGAATTAGTCTAAATCTAAAGAATGGATTCTATAATAACCCTCACTGGTAAGGGAGAGAATGGTTCTGATTCTTCACTTGCTTGCATGGTGCAAAACAATGGAGAACCAGACATATGCTAGATTTTCAAAAGTGGATCAGGAGCATAATCTCACTGAAAGACAATGGGACTTGTGCTCCTAACTCTGTTTTAGGGCTTTTCTAATGCCCCCAAAGACTAGCCTACAAACAGAACTGAACTGTTTTAACTAAAGGTTTGATTTTAAACTCATTTTAGCTAAGCTAGTGCAAGCTGTGTGGACACTCATATTTTGGTTTAAACCAGCTTAAACCAACAAGAAACAGTTTCAAGCAAAACCAAAATAAACCATTCTTATACCTAAGTAAGAGCACCTACAAAGTGCTCTTTTTCACTGGTTTAACTAAACTGGTACAAATCCCCTATGTTTGGTTCATATTTCTAAGCAGTCTTGGGCAAATAACTTAATCCTCTCTGTTGTTCAGCTTAATCTTCTATAAAATGTGTGTACAATATTTCTTATCTAGTACATAGACCAGTAGTGAAAATTAATTAGTATGTGTAATTGCCCCTTGAAATATTTGGATGAAAATGCTATAAAATGCAATGCATGATTTATAATTATTGACCCTTGAATTATTTCTATGTAGGATATTCTGGACCACTAAAGGAAATTCCTCCTGAGAGGTTCAACACTACTTCTGTGCCAAAATATTATCAGTCCCCCTGGATAGAAGCCATCAGCAATGACCCAGAGTTGTTGGAGGCTTTATACCCTAAACTCTTTAAGCCTGAAGCAAAGCCAGAGCTACCTGACTACAGGAGCTTTAACAGGTAATTTAGGGAGCAGGATGAATTTTAGGTAAAAATACATGGTTATAAACATTGGGCTGCTCTCCCTTACACAAGCACACACACACACACACAACACACACACACACACACACACACGGATGATTTTTAAAGAGGAAAGCACAATTAGTCTAAATCTAAAGAATGGATTCTATAATAATCTCTAGTATAAACACCACAAGAGGAAGGTCATAGTAAGAAACTAAGAAACAATTAAAGAAAGAAAAGGATAAAAACCCAATATCCATTTAAATGATTAATTTGAATAGCTGTTGGAATTACAGATGCTGAGGGTGTTTATGTACCTGTGGCTCCTGGCCTGAAGTGGTTTCTGTCATACATTGGGTATACAGTTTGGTTCAGTGGCTTTCATCACTATACAAATTATCCCAGAACCCCTGACTTGATGGAATAAATAGGCTGAAGCAAGGACATGATCCAAAGCTTGTTAGATCTTTCCAATGACTTCAATAACCACTGGATCCGGCCAGTGAGCATTGGTTAGAGTTTTTTTCATAAGCACTATCACAGGAACCATCAATTTTTGTTTCTTTATATTACAATCCATAGTCGACAGATTTGTGTTTTTGGGTCTGATCCTGCAAAGAGCTGAGAGCCCTTAGTCCTCACAGGGGCTATTCAGCTATCTGAAGCATCAGGCCCTCCATCATGTTTAACAGGCCATTGCAAACTCTATGAACATCTTAAACTAAAAGATTTCAGTTTTAAAACTGCAAAATAGGGTCACAAAAACAAAAGCTAGGCAGCAAATATAAAATGCTGTGTGTGAAGCCAGCAGGGAGCTGAATGAGAAATTATTTACACAGTAGCTGGTGGACTGTGGTTTTAATTCGAACCTCTTGTTATGTTGACATTGGTTGGCGCTTGGAACTATTTTGGGAGCTTTAGAAAACATCTAGATGGTGCCTCCCACCTTTATTCATATTGTACACAATATCTTCTTTTATTCCACAAACTTATTTTTCTTAAATGGCTCCTGTTTCGCTCCAGCTGACTAAGCCATGCCAAAAAAAACCACACCAAAAATAAAAACAAACTCGGCTGCGTGGCAATCTACTTCCACATAAAATGGCAGATACTGGCAATGTAGATCTGTAGGAAATTGTCAAGATCAACAACTCCATTCAGAAGCATGGAGGTGAGCAGGTACATCTAAATTATAGTGGCGAGGAGAGGAAACATGGCTGTCTTATCATGGCACTGCATAGTCTCCCCTGAATCTGTTTCACAACAACTGTGCATCACCGACGGATGAGCAAGCAGTTATAGCTACTGACCTGGAGGAAGAGCTGGGAAGTTGTATGCCATGTTCCACTCAGAAAAAGATGCAACAGACACTGACTGGAGACCTCATGTGAGCACATCTGCCACTGTGAGAACAATAGCAGCACAGTTTAGCTACTATGGTCACTAGTACTACAGAAAACATGACAGACACTTTTTTAAGTTTATGCTATACAGACTAACTCGGCTACTCCTCTGAAACTTAGATATCAAACATCCTGCTATTGTTAGGAAAGGGAAGAACTAGGGGCTGCACTAAAGCAGACTTAATATAAACATGGGTTCTGAGGCTTGGCTGATATCCAGTGGTGTCTGCTGTAAATTTTCAGCCTTCTCAGGGAGATTAGACTTTGCTCACTGCCCACTTCTTATTACTACCTGTCTTATTTTTCTATGAGGAAAACTGCATCTTTTGGGATATATACTCGTATTTTGTGCATTTCTCTATCGGAATATCATTGAAACCTGCCACTTACATTCAGGGTTTGGTCTTAGACTTGATCCAGAAAGTTTTAAACGGTGAAACTGGTAAATACAATATACAAGGCCTTGCCCCATCTGGAAAAAGCACCAAGTTATACTCAGCCTAGAAAGGCTGTTGGACATGTACACTACATTTATATTTATAACATCTAGTCATTATTAGGGCAGAAAGTGTCCAGATAATTGCTTTGTTTCATTACAATCCTGAAAACAGGCAATTGATAAAATATTGAATATATGAGTTGTGATGTCATAATGACATCACTGAGTTAGCTAGTATCAGTCAGGTTTTCCAGTCTGACTGTGTCACTCCAGGAAGAACCACTTTCAGGATTTGGTAATTCCAAGTACATGCAACACGTAGATACATTCACCATTAATCATTGGGAGAAGGTTTGATGGCATCCTTGATGCATGGGACTCCGAACATGGTGTTCAGATTGTATTTTGTGAATTCAGATATCTTTGTTTAAATGACAATCTTTGATTTTAGAGACCAAACTTAGGATCCTTTCAGATCTGAGCACCACTATCAATGAGATCAGTGGGAGTTTTTCCTGACTGAGAAGTGAGTTAGATTTGCTAAATAAGACTTGGACAAGGGTAACTTTAAAAAAGGACAATTTTAGAGGTGTACTGAGGCAAGAAAAGGATTCAGAACTTTTTTGTGAAAAAATGTATCATTTGTCTCTTTTAAATACAGGGCCCAATCTTGACCACATGTAAATTGATTCTATCAAATCTCAGGCAATTATACAGTTAGTGGCCTTATTTGGGGTTAGGTTTCCACAACAGGAATGAGGAAGCACCAGTAAGTCCACCAAGAAGGAGGCTGTAGCAGCAAAAAGCAACTGAACTTGCCTCCCTTTTAAGGGATTATAGATAGCCAATGCAATCTGACAGATATGGAGTTGAGTGGATAGTCAGGGGGCACCAGAATTCACTGGCTCCAAGGAAACCACCAGCAGAGTATTGGTAAGGATTTTGTGGAGCTGCTGGTGAAAATTAGAAGGACCCTACTCTAATTGACACTAGATGGGAAACAGCAAAAATCACTTGCTTTCCTTTAGAGATGAGTCTCAAGTGGAACACAAGGAGAATTAACTAGCACAAAGGTAAGAATGCCATCTTAGAAGAAGAATCTATATGGAAAAACCAGTGTGAATTATTTTTGCTAATTAGTCTATAATAGGAAATTAACTTAACCCCTCCTTCCACTCTGTTTCCAGTGGAAAATGTCAACATTAGAATTATAGATGACCAATAAAGCACTGCAGCATGCCTGCATCTAACAATAAGCAGGTTTGACTGGTTCTTCCTCTCCAACTAGATCAGGTCTTGCTCAGGCCTCTCCCTTCCCAATCTATTGCTTCCAAAACACTAAGGAATCCCGTCCATCTGGCTAGTGCTTTGCTTTACTGATTTACAAACCCTGGATCTGATCCTGCAAAATGCTAAGTGTCTCCTGCCAAGTGTCAAGTGCCCTCAACTTGCGGGAGGCAGGCACACTCTTAGCACTGTCTAGCAGACAGTCTGTGTTCCAAAGAGCATACAATTTAAACAAACAAGACAGACACAGAACAGGGGAAAGTGTGTAACACACAAGCAGACAGCCCTAAACATAATATCAGTGCCATGATTTATCTATTTTTGTGACTGGGTTTAGTTAGGAGGGAAACAGTTAAATTAAAGGGAAAGTAAAGGGAGAGGGGCAATGAAGAAAAGGGGTTGAGAAGTGTGTACAGGGACTACGAGAAGAAAGTAAGAGGAAATAAAGCGGAGGTGAAGAGATTGTGAGGAGGGGAGGTCAGGAACAAACAGCTAATCAGCACATACATGAGAAAGTCCAGTGGAAACTGTAGAAAGATCTTTGGAATATCCAAAGCTTTGGCTGCTTCTTCAGCTGATCCTACCCTACCATGTCTCTCCATGATTCCCCTCTGGTTTTTCACTGAGACTTTCTGGTGGCATTGGGGTATAACCAGAGTCCTACTTTCTCCAGAGTGTGCATAGGTGTGTCAGGGGCAGGTCTCCACTGCACAGCTCTAGGCAGAATGTTCAGCAAATGTTTACATTTTTAAAGAACTCTGGGCAAATTAAATTTTTTGTTACTACTTTAATTATACATCTTTGGTAGCTAAGTCAGCATAGTTAAAACATTCTGTCTCAATCTTATAACTTCCCAAAAATTCAGATAAAAATCCTCTCCTTTATAGGAACAATTTAAGAATGATTTTAAATTGATCAAATAAATAATGTGCACATATATAGCAGGGGCCAAAATAAAAAATACAGGTATGCACTATGTTTTTACATTAGCCATCAACTTTTTTGGAATATTCCAAGTGAATATTAATCTACCCCTAACTTCTTGGTGCCACTACCTAGAACCAGCATTTTCTCGCCTATAATATATGATGACTATCTGGAATTTTTTAGGCACAGATTTTGGGTTATGAACAATTAATCAGAGCTCAGGTTATTTGCTCCGTTTCCATACAGTGTAGCACATTACAGCACCTTGTCATGGTACAGTCTGTTGCTCACAAGAAAATACATTGATGCCCTGAAGGACAAATTAATATTCATTAGCTAATTACTGTACTCTCTTTTATGCATATCATCATGTATTTCTGCATAGCACATGAGTACATGTTAATGTATAATCTAGCTAGGCCAATTTTTATATAGCTGTTATTCATTTTTGTAAGTTCAAAAGAAGTTTATTTAGTGAATTTTCATAAAACATGCACACTTGAATATATTATCTATACTTATATGCTCTAAATATAGCTAGAATTATAACGGAAAATAATTATTTCAAGAAATTCAAAGCACAAATGCAAAATTAACATTGCTTATCCTTTTGTTAATTTACAAATCCATAAATATTAAAGATTGCATGAACACTGCCACTACATCTTAATTAGAGCAGCAATTAAAATGATTATTATTTTCAAGATCATGTATGTCACAGCACTCACTCAGTGCTGATTTAAAGATAATTATTTTTAATCCATAAGGTTAGTATAGAATTTGTCATTTGGAACCTGGAAGAAAATTTCCAGACTTGCATAGACCATCAGTGAGTGTGAAAAACTCCTATTGATCTCAAAGGGTATGTCTGCACTACCACCCTAGTTCGAACTAGGGTGGTAATGTAGGCAACCGGAGTTGCAAATGAAGCCCGGGAAATTCAAATTCCGGGCTTCATTTGCAACTCCGGTTGCCTACATTACCACCCTAGTTCGAACTAGGGTGGTAATGTAGGCAACCGGAGTTGCAAATGAAGCCCGGGAAATTCAAATTCCGGGCTTCATTTGCAACTCCGGTTGCCTACATTACCACCCTAGTTCGAACTAGGGTGGTAATGTAGGCAACCGGAGTTGCAAATGAAGCCCGGGAAATTCAAATTCCGGGCTTCATTTGCAACTCCGGTTGCCTACATTACCACCCTAGTTCGAACTAGGGTGGTAGTGTAGACATACCCAAAGAGACTCTGATGCATGGAGTGGCTGCTGCTACTAAATCTGATCCTTTATGTATCAAAAGATGTAGTTTTGGAGCCTGATCCAAAAAACACCCTCCATTTTTCCAAGTGTGGGTGGTTAGAACCTTTCACTAGGCACTTGCCATCTTTCCAGGATCAATTTTTTGAAGCAGAGTTAGCTATTTGGGGGACGCACCTAATTGAAAAATTTCAGTGAGCAATTTCTATGCACCACAAAGAGCCATCTAGTAGTCTAGATCTAGAAAAGTAGATCTTTTCCTTTGATTTTTGTTTTGTTTTGTTTTAATCTTGGGGTTTGCACAGTTGGTAGTGAGTTTTGTTTTACCATGTATAACCTGCTAAAAATACCAGTAAAGTCTTCCATACTTCTCTCTTGGTTTCTGCTGGTGTTCAATTATTTATTATGGTCTGCACTGGACCAGTAACCACAGGAACTTTAGACAATGGATCTATTACCTTATTCTGTATCAAATTCAGAAAACCAATGGGGCCAACTTAAAGCTCTCTGTTTTTAGATGGAATTAACTTGGGTGTGCCACTCTTTATGTTGGTTTTGTGGCAACTAAGAATCAAAGTCCAGTTAACAAATCTTAATTGCTTCTTTACTTGTGATTATCTAAATATACCTCAGGAAACTATTTGTAGAGCCCTGCAAATCCACTGATACCTGCTTTATATCTGAGGGTATACGCATCCACAGATGAGGATATAGATCCAGATATCCTCAGCTCATTTTTGCAGATATGGATGTGGATTCAGATACAAGTTTTGTATCTAGAAGTCTGCAAATTTGCAAATATTCACTTTATATCTGCAGGTATTCACATCCGTATTTGTGGCTCATTTTGGCAGATACACATGTAGCTACGGATACAAAATTTTGTATCCATGCAGGACTCTAGCTACTTGATTTACCAACAATTATGGCTACATTTGGTATAATTTATTTCTGTTTGTTCAGATTTGTTTACATCTGTGGTTCTGGAACCACTAACGGAAAACTCTGTGCCCAGGAGTCTGCCAGTACAGGTTGGACCAAATTGGTCCAACACCCTCAGGAACTGACTGATACCGGATGATGGATTTTGCTTGACCAAAGGAAGTCATTTCTGGCCCCTCTGCCGCCAGCCCCCTCCAGCCTACTGCGTGTGGGGCTTCCACTGCCCTTTCAGGAAACCCCACTTTTGTGTGTTGGGCTCCTGCTGCCCAGCTAGCCTGCAGGGCTCACAGGTGCTAGCTCTCCACTGGAACTTTCTGGTCCTGGAACATCCATGGTCCCAGCAGCAGATAATGGGCTTGGTTCAGTCTGTGTTTCTTCAAGTCCCCACCAAAAGAAACCTAGGCAGGCCCTTGAGGCACAAAGCCTGCTTCAGAGAGTAGGTTTCAGCTGCAGCATTGTTTTCACCAATTTAACAAAGCCAGTTTCTAAACAAACTGAGTTAAATCAGTACACCTCCTGTGAGTAGATAAGGTCATACATTGTTAATCTGCTGACTTTAACCACAGTACCTCTGATTAATAGCAGTGTGAGATCAGAATCAGATTCTTAATGCTTTAACCCACCTTCTTGAGGTCTGTCACACACATCGGGAACTAGAACATGCCCTTAGTATGTCTAGAAAACAACATGTTCTGACTCTCAAAATATGAGGGGAAGAGGCTGGAGCATACAGAGTCATCCTTACCCATGGGCAGAATATGCAGTTCCTAATATTGGGTGATTATGATTATGAGAAGCTGCGACTAAGCAGGAACAAAAAGAGGAACAAAAGACAGGTATTGAAGAGAATTTTCTAGAAAAATAATTAACGTATAATTCCTAGCTTTCTGAAAAACTTTTGGAAAAATCATATTACAGTAAACTTCCGAAAATCCGGCACCTTTAGGACCCATGGGGTGCCGGATTATCAAATATGCCAGACTATTGGAAGGGGGGGGGCTATGAGGGATCTGGGGTGGAGTGGGGGGGATGCGCCCCTCAGCGCTGCAGGACCAACCCGGCAGCACCCCAGCTGCTCTGCCCCGGGCTTCCCCGAGTCAGCCGCTGGTCAGTTTCAGCAGCGTCGAGGGGTGGCGCTAGGGGATCAAGCAGCACCCCAGCTGCTCTGCCCCAGGCTTCCTGGAGTCAGCCGCTGGTAAGTTTCAGCAGCAGCTGAATCCGGGAAGCTGGGGGCAGAGCAGCTCCAATAGTCCGGCTGCCCGGAGCACTTCCGGGTTCCAGATGGTGCCGGACCATCAGTAGTGCCGGACCATTTGATGCCGGACCACTGGAGTTTTACTGTACTATACTGAAAAAAATCATAAAAATCAAACCCAATTAAAACAAAACCACATCATTCTTTTTCAGCTCTTGCAGCAAAAGAAAAATGGGTATTGTTAAAATCAAATTTCACTTTTATTTTTCCCACCATCTACAGAGTTGCGACTCCATTTGGTGGTTTTGAGAGAGCATCAAAGCTGGTTAAATTCAAGGTACCAGATTTTAATCTACTTCTGCTAAATGATCCCAGGTTCATGATCCTCGCTAACCCTCTTTCTACAAGGAGGTCCTTTAACAGGACCCCTAAGGGATGGACGTCTGAGAATATTCCCATAGTGTTCATCCAGCCTTCGGATTCCAACACTGTTCCAGAAACCGATGACCTGTGAAAGGGAAGCTGTTGTTTTATATTTGATACAAAATGCTGAAAGCTGACCATAAAAATCAGCATGTTATTATTTTGACTTTAATAGAACCTACTTGCCACAGCCTCCCCGGTAGCTGGAATCTAACTACTAACTTCTGATACAGTAACCTTTTTCGTGACTTTAATTTCATCTACAGACCTAATATAAATAAAATAATTTGGCAACTATTCATTGAAACTTTTTTGATTTTTGTCTGTCTATGCATTTTATTTTTTTTCACTTGTATTCTTTAATAAAAACTAGATGTTGTTTCAAACCTTTGCACTGCAACATTAAAAGCAGTTGTGATAAGGAAAAAGTGACTCTGACCACATGGCATTTCATGTCTATTCTAGTCCTAGCATGTCAGATTGATTCAATATCCTTGCTGCTCTATCCTGGGATTTGGAAATAAAGTTTGGGCTCCGATTTTTCCCCCTCTAATGTTAAAACCAGTTTTGCTATTGGCATTAGTGAGAGCAGGCTTATCGCTTACGTTTTTGCTGTCTCTTGTGTCACCACCAAAAGTAAATTTAGCTGACCAAAGAAAGACCATATTTAAAGACAGCATTCCATGGCAGAGCTTTCAAGCCAGACTCTGTCTCTCCTCTAAGACTTTCTCTCTTATATTTTACATTGCATTAACATTAAGGGGAGAAGGGTTTCCATGGAACATTCTTTTTTGTCATATTAAAAAGAAATAAAATGAATACATGTGGTCACTGAAACTTAATTTGTGATTATTTGACTTGACACCTCAAGAACACAAGCCACCAGGAACTCAGGCTGTTCTGACCCACCCTCAAGAGTGAGGGCAACTTGAACTGGCCTCAGAATTTAGATCAATACTAATGTTCTAAGCTGATATCTCTTCTCAGAGAGAGCTAATGGCAAATTCGGCTGCAAATGCATAACATTTCCTATATACAGCAGTGTGGCAGTGCCCAATTCTCCTCAGTGATTCTTCCTATGGTGTGGTTGGTTCCTGGAGTACATACAGGTTGGACCTCCTTGGTCCAGCACCCTGAGGACCCGACCAGTCTTGAATGAGGGAATTTGCCAGATCAGGGAAGGTTCCCTGCCACCGGCCTCCCAGGACTCTGACCCTCCTTCCTGCTCACTCTGCTCCAGCCCTGCTGCTACAGGGCTTGGGGCTTGGCTCTGGACCACTTCTACCAGCTGGCTGGAGTTCTCCAGGAATGGATCTCCTCAGCCGCCATGGCCCAGCTTCTGTCCCGCCTGGACGGGGCTTCCCATAGACAGGGCTCTGCAGCTGCCCCACTGCTGCCATGCTCAGCTGGGGCTCCCCAGAATGGGGCTCTCCTATCGCTGGACTCCCGACCGGCTCGCACTCCCAGGTGCCAGGGCTCTCTGGTCCAGCAACATCCGTGATCCTGATAAACCATGAATGTTGCTGGACCAGAGAGTCCCGGATTTAGGAGGTTCACCCTGGAGGAGTTCTCCAATGGTTTCTAATTATTAACTGTAGTTAATTTACAATCTTCACAAGGCAGACCTCAGGGTTAGCCTGAGTGATTTTCTTAAGGAAACCCCCCAGCATATGCAAACACAAAAAACACATTTCATTGCTCCCATCAGGGCACTGCCCTTTATTAGGCTGGTTCCTGGTTGCCAATCTCTGCTCAAACAGCAGTAAACTCAATATTTCACATATAAAAAGAACAGCTCTCCCCTTAGGGGAAACCTTTTCCCCTTTCTGTCTCTTACCTTCTGCAACATCTTTCTTGTCCCTCCTCTCCTTTTTCTCATCAGAAGAGGGTTTTAAAGGTTATCATCAGTCCTTATTTGGGCTCTGGTGTTCCTAACTAGCCTGAGGCAACATTTTAACTCATAGGAACAAGGGCTTTAATGTCTCTAAGGCTGATACACTTGCCTTCAATGTACATGGCCTTCAATAATCATGACTGGTATGGAAAAAGTGAATAAGGAGAAGTTTTTTACTTATTCCCACAATATAAGAACTAGGAATCACCAAATGAAATGAATAGGCAGCGGGTTTAAAACAAACAAAAGGAAGTTTTTCTTCACTCAGCGCACACTCAACCTGTGGAACTCCTTGCCAGAGGATGTGGTGAAGGCTAGATCTTTAACAGAGTTCAAAAAAGAGCTAGATAGATTCGTGGAGGTTAGGTCCATCAATGGCTATTAGCCAGCATGGGTAGGAAAGGTGTCCCTAACGTCTGTTTCTCTGGAGGTGGGTGACAGGGGAGGGATCGTGTGAGGATTACCTGTTGTGATCTCTCCCTCTGGGACATCTAGTATAGGCCACCGTCAGCAGACAGGATATTGGGCTAGATGGACCTTTTGTCTGACCCAATATGGCCAGTCTTATGTTCTTAAGGTCCCGTAACTGTCTGGTTCAACTTTGCTGAGCAGTCATAATTTTAATATTACCGATTCCCATTTTTCAATGTTGTTTAACTTCTTAGATCTCAAGGAGATCTAGAAATCAAGTCCAGTCTGGTGTTTTCAGTTATACTGGGAGTTATCCCCATCCAAATTAACTAATCAGAACATATTGAAAAAGATATGTGGATTTTTACAGACATGCATGGCTCAGTTAAAAAAAAAAAAAATCACCTTTGAGCTGACAGAAAGAATGTAAAATTTCAGCCCAGGAGGAAGGACTGTGACAAATGTATGAGCAACTGAAAGAGATGGTTAGAATAGAATTCTGATTTAATTATAGGAAGCACCACTTGTGCAATATAGACACGTGTAGAAAGCATATAGGAGATATAGTTATAAGAAAGAGACTACGTAATGGTCTGGAGGAACAAAGGTTATACCTGCATGAGTTTCAGGTGGCTCTGTTATTCACAACTGCAAAGACATGAATGAGTGAAGTACTTACCATGTACTAATAAAACGAGATAGGTCATTATCTCAAATGAATATCCTGCTTGAGGAATCCTTCCCTAGCTCTTCCACAGCCATAATGTATATTTGCATAATTGGTTTTTCTATTCTTTCCAGTGTACAAATTAGAATTGGAGCTTATTATAGCGTGTAAGAATTTTCTTGCATGTTGCAATAGAAAGCCTCGATGTATTAGAAAAATGAAGAACTGGGATGAAAAGAGGTTGATATGATTCAGATACAGACACAGTGCAAATAAACTAAGTAAGAAGGTGCCATATTTACTGTGTCATTTTTCAAATTACAACTGCATTTAATGAGGCAAAACATCAATTTAATAACTTTTTTTAATTAATATCTTTTGTTTAAGAAGGATACAACATTGGCATGTTATATTTTTAAATACACAATCTGGTAACTTTATATTTTGATACAGAATAAGAATGTGAGTTTTACTGAACAGACTATAAATGTTAGCTATTAAAGCTCTCTTTTAATATGTATTGAATCCATTCTTAATGGCTACGTCTACACTGGCCCCTTTTCCGGAAGGGGCATGTTAATTTCAGCTATCGTAATAGGGAAATCCGCGGGGGATTTAAATATCAAAGTCTTATTCCTACTTTGAAGTAGGAATAAGATCCTCCGGAAAAGGGCGCTTTTTCCGGAGGATCGGAGCCAGTGTAGACGCTCTTTTCCGGCTTTTCTAAAAGCCGGAAAAAAGCGGCGGACATTTTTATTTAAATGCCGCGGGGGATATTTAAATCCCCCGCGGATTTCCCTATTACGATAGCTGAAATTAACATGCCCCTTCCGGAAAAGGGGCCAGTGTAGACGTAGCCAATGGGTTTATTGGCATTTGAGAGGAGTTGTTATAGAAAGATCCTGAGAATAGGATGGATGCAGAAGGTCACCAACGAGGAATTATACAGGAAGATACAGCCAAAAGAGAACCTTCTGCAGAAGGTTATACAACGGAAGTTACAACTGTTCGGGCATATCTGCAGAATGAACGATGAGCGAAAATTTAAGACCGTGGTATTCGGCATAATGGATAGGAATAGGAGAAGCAGACTCCACAGAGAATGGGTAGATGATATAGTAGATTGGTGCGGAGCTAGTCTACAGAAACTAAGCCACTCTGCACTGGACAGGGAAAGATGGAAGGAAATAGTGAGGGAGGCATTGGACATAAATGGGCGTTGAGCCCATGGTTGTTGATGATGATGATGATGATGAACTCATATTAACTTTCTGATCAAAAATATACAGGTTCACATCATGTTTTTCTTGGGAAATGAGCTGATGTGTATAAAGTTTTACAAGATCCACAACTATACGCAGTCCCAAACTTTAGATCAGAATTAAGCCCACCCTATGGCTATGGCTACTTTAGAGAGTGTACAGTAGTGCAACTGCACAAATGCTGCTCTGCTGCTGTAAACTCTGCAGTGTCACTGCTCTAAGCCAACAGGAAATCTCCCATTGGTTTAATTACCCCAGTCGCTGTGAGTGGCCATAGCTTCTCCAGCCAACATAGCACTGTCCACACAAGCGCTTAAATCGGCATAAGTTATATTGGCTAACTCACACCCCTGAGCAACATAACTTATGTTGACTAAAGCTGTAGTGTAACCATAGTCTATATGATGTAGCAATAGCTAGGCAAATGTAATGCATCAAGACACCACTTTTCCAAATGGTGCTGATCCATAATCGGTTCAGCTATAAAAGTGAGTGATTCAGCGAGAATCAAATGTGACTCAGGTAAAGAGTCATGGAATAAAAAGTAAAATGGAGAGATTGGAAGGCTTAAGAGAGTCAAAGAGTATCCATAGGTGGTTAACATTGGGAAAAGATCATGGACATGCATTTCCAGATGAGTTGAAGCCCACCCTCCACTTTCATGCTTGTAATTTGTACCTGAAAACATTCAGGCATTTCAATTGTGGCGTCAAGTCAGGTATCTTGGGGCACAAATACCCTGATTTTTCAACTGCAATAGATTTTGTGGCACAACAGTGAACACGACATTTACAGGTGTCAATTGTGCCTACCAAATCGAGGATGGGCCTTAGCTCATTTGAAAATTTAATCCTATCCAGCCCAGGAGTTAGTTTTAGGACAGTTTATTGTTAACATGTAAAATGATATGGACAATGATACTATATATGTGCTTCCTAATTCTGCAAGAGTCACAAAGAGACTAGAAGTAAAGTAAATAATAAGGAACATTACAACCAGATTCAAAGTGATCAGAATTGATAAATGATTAGACCAACATATGACAAATATATTTCAATGC